AGAAATTCCGAAAAGTGTTTATAACGTCCATTTTCAAAGTAATTATTGCTATCTTGTGAGTTTAATTCAAGTTTTATTTACTCCAACCGGTGATAATTGTGAAAAAGTGGCATTAAAAACTTAAAAAGCTGTGCTGTGAACTGTGAACTGCAAAAACCATCGTGGATCGTGGCATAACGTCGGTTTCCAATGTTTCATAGGTATTTCATACATGCGTCCTTATATAAAATAAAGTTTTTTGTATGAAACACACTGTATTTTATTTATAAAATTAAACGAAAATAACAATAAATTTGAATAAACAATATTTGGCGATATAATTCCGGAAAAAGCCGAACCGCTCCGAAATTTTCAAAAGTTTTGGGTCGCGACCGTTGCAAGAATAGCGCCAAATAGTGTTTACATTGTCCTTATGGGCACTTTCCAATCTAAACTTGTTTCATTTATCTATGGCTACTAATATCCTTAGACAGCTAAAATATCATTTCATAATAAATTGTTGCAAAAAGTTGTAATATTTTTCTCTAAAATTTTAAAACCCTAAACGAAGTTGTTTCCACTCGATCTTTTAACTCTGCTTTCCTTCTAAAAACGAACAAAAAGTCGCTCTAGAGACGTAATTTCATCTTCTAAATTAACTGTATTTGCCGTTTTGTTCCGTAGCATATCGCCATCTTGCCTGTCGGAATCCTTTTCAGAATTAAAAAGTAATTAGAGATGATACAGAGAAGAAAAACCATACAGAGTGTTCTTGGCTGAGCTTGTATTAAAGCAATGCTGTTCTTTCTTTCACTCTCTCATTACCAGATGACACTTTTTTATGTTCATATAACTTACATACGTATGCAAATTACTTAAAACAAAATAGAGCTTTATATTTTCTATTATTTTTTGTCTTGTTTTTCATCTTTTCTTTAAATGTTCCTTACTTTAAGAAACATAATATACTATAACTATAACTTTTAATTATTATGTTTTAGATTGGTGGCCTAAAACCAAGAATAAATCCCAACTATATATAAATATATTTTCTATAGAACTCAATATAAAATAAAAATATCTAATACCTAACTTTCCTTAAAAAAAAAGATGTGTCCTTAACTTGAACTATTTCGGAGTCACTAAAACAACGAAATATATCATTAGAGTCTTAAATTGATTTTGAACGTATTTTTTGTTGATAAATTTATTATGGCGCTTTCTATGCGTTTCAAATAGTACCCATTCGAGCCCGTTTGACCTTTGCAATATCGTAAAATTCAAAATCCAATTTCGTCCAAAGAACATCCGGATGAAGCGGATATTTAGTCTGGTATAACTGTTGCAGATTTAAGTGTATGTTACGTCGAACAAAAATAGAATTCAAAGTATAAAACTCATACTGAAAGAAATGCAGAACTGTTTCGTTTGAGAATAAAATATGTATACATTTAATTTTTTTTATTAATAGTTATTTCATGTCCAATCTCTAAAGAATAATAGATTTAAAAGGATCCACCAGTTCTACTTTCATTGTTGCGAATTAATAAATTATCAGGGTGCGTTTATGTTACTATGCAATATAGATGCACGTTTTTTTTTGTAAATAATAAATAGCACTGATATTAAGATGTCATTTAGATAAATCGCGATTTTTTTACGATAAAATAGTGAATTATCAACCAGCAAGTCAGATTTCAAGGAAAAATGATTCAAGAAGATCTTCCGCACGTACTTGGGCCTACAACTCCTGAGCAATAAACAGGCCATTGTATGAGAAGATCATCCGCTACATTACTGGCAAATGCAGGAATGAACATGACAACGTTAAAAAGACACGGAGAATGGAGATCTGCAACGGTTGCGGAAGAGTCCTTCAACAATAAAATAGAGATTGCGAAAAAGATTCAAAGTGCTGTAAGTGTTCTAGAACGAGCCGTTGTAATGACAGAGCATATTTCAAGCAGTGGAGGGACAGCATCTGGAGGCATACAAGGTTTTACAATTTCTGAATCTACAAAAAAAATCATTTTCATTTAATGTTAATGTTAATTTAAATAAATAATTGAATTAGTAATTTATGAATATAACTTTCATCGTAATATTATTAATTAGGAAACACATTGTTCTGTGTCCCATTCATTCACTCAAAACGTTTTTTTCACAATTTCTTCGTACCTGATACACATATCCCTATATTTCTTTTTTGTTTATAAATCTCTTATTCATTGCATAGTTTTAGTCGTTTAAGTGTTTTAATTTCTGTATTGCTTCTAACTTTTATATTATCGATTTAAAACTATTTAAGTACATCTTTCTTAATGCAGTGAATAATAAAGTCATTTTAATAAATAAATTCCCGCACCTTTTGCCTTAGTTATTAATAACAACTGAAGCTAAATTCTCGACTGCTTCGCAATAGAATTAACTCTCGACCAGCAAGGCTGCTGGATATTAATAATGTCTGAAACTTACTTAGTTTGTTCTTTACACCGCGCCAAGTAAGGAGTTTATTTTCAGAGAAATAAGTAAACATAGAGGGTTTTATCAGTATTTTTTTTTAGTTTAAATGGACTGTTTTTGCTGGTTGGTTGGTTGGTCAAATTCTTTGTCAAGTAGTAAATAAAAGCAAAATGCAAGAAAAAAATAAATAATATATATATATATATATATATATAGTCGAGTTTAAAAAATATATTAGAAACTTTTTTAGTAAAATTACTAAAAAAGTTACTAATATATATTCATAAAAGAAATATTCACCATATTTTATTGACAAAACATTAAACGAAATACAAACCCCAAATCATAGACACAATGATAATAATACACAATATATACAACTTACAATTCCATACATACGAGGCGTTTCGGAAAAAATAAGAAGGATAAGAAAACAATATACATACGAACATCTTTCAAAACACAAAATACACTTAGATCCATTTTATCACATACTAAACCAATGAATTCAGAACAACAAACAAAACTGTAATATACAAAATACCATGTGAATGCGAAAATTTTACATTTTTGGGACTGAACAATAGAACTCACTGCCAGAATTTCTTTAAAAATTTGAAAATACTGACTCTTCCTTCTTTATTCATTTTGAATCCGTTTGCTTAATCCGCAAGCACATATCTGCTATTCCCGAAGGACAATCTCATAACTATCCACTTAGGAATGCAGAGCACGATCTTTATCTGCCAACGCCGAGCTCAGAACTAGTTAAAGGTTCAATACTGTACAATGCCAAAAAAATGTACAATCATCTGCCTTTGAATATCAAGTCGCTTTCATTCTTTCCCGCATTTCGCAAAGCTCTAAAATCTTACTTACTGGAGAGAGCCCTATATACGGTAAACGACATTTTTGTTGATGGTTAATTATGAACAATTTTGAATTTTAAAATTTTGATCATCTCATACACTGGTCCAAGGTCAAGTATTTAATATTTTATAACTCTAAAATCATACATATTTACTGCGTACTGTTCTAAAATTGTCCATGTATATTCTTTTTGTAATTTTAAAGACTTAAATTTTTTTTAATTGTATTATTTGTTTTGTGTATTTTTTGTTGTTTGTATTTTTTTTGTGATTTTGTTGTTTTGTGAGTGCTTTGTCGATGAAGCTGTTTTGGCTTTTTGTACAATAAAGCGTTGTTTGTTTGTTTGTTTGTTGTTAATACAATCTAATATAAATAAATGTATTGTTCATGCATCATGCATGTAAATGTCAAACGTACAAAATTTAAAAACATCTCCAGCTGAACTTATTTCTCTGAGAGTTTATCTTTTACTTAATGTTGGGGGTGGGCATAAATAACACAAGAAGGAGTCCCTAAGTAACTTTCTTCGGGTCTTTAACTTGATTAACGGGTTATTCGTATACACGGTTGTTGCTCTTCTTTGCTTCTTTCTCCTGCGAGGAACGCTTAAAGTTAACTTTGCGGAGTTCAGTCAAGTGTGTTCTGCGCTGTTCCATGCTCAACTATTTTTAAATAAATTGTTTCTATTATGTGTTTAACTAGAGTTTTTACCCACAGCTTTGTCTAGATATATGTAGATATTAGTGTTGGTCAAAAAAATCGACTATTTTTTCCCTTTATACTCTAGAAAAAAGGTTGGTAAACACCCAAAAAAATTCTCTCAAAGTATGAACTCTTAATTTTAATAGGAAGGTTCTCCGCCTTTCAGTTTTCTATTTTTTCTTTATTATTAGAAAGAAAAATTCATATCTTGGTATCTACTCTTGGAAAAAATATCTCGTCTCAGGTATTTGTAAGAAATTGAATTCTCTACAAAAAAGATCACTTACAATTTTTTTGTAAACCTCACCGTTCGAAAGTTATTAAAGGTTGAAATTTGATTATTCTAAAGCAGATTTCTTTTTTTTTATGAATTTTATAACTCCTTAACAAAAAAATCATTATGATACGCCCAATTCACAATTTTGTAGGAAATTCACTGCTCTACAAAAATGGTTTCTTATGATTAGTCGATTAAATTAACGGTTTAAAAGATATTCATCGTTAAACTTCAATGCACAATAATTTTAACAGTTTTTGATTAATAATTCGAACAATTTCAATTTATTTTCTGAGTTTCGGGAAAATTTGTACAAATTTGAGTTTCTATGAACAAAGAAACGTTTTAAACTTTTTTTCTGGTAGTTTTTATAGTCCTAAGCATGTTTGGGTACATTGAAACAAAAAATGATTGTATTTTTTCTAACTGATAATCAATGATTCATTAAATTTCAAATACATTTTGGAACAGAGAACAATAGTAGTACAAACCATAGGTTTAAAATGTTTAAAAAGAACCAAATTTGCTTATAGTTGCATGCAACCAGTAATACAAAAGTATTAAACGTGTGGCCTCTACAGGGGACCTTTTTTCTCTCTTTTATATAACGGAAATCATAGATACACACTAATAGAAATGTTTCTAATAAGTTTTATATTTTTATTCCATATTACAAATATTCTTTTTAAATCCACAGGTTAAACAAGAATTATTTTAAGTCATGCGATTGGCCAGATCAGAATTGTCATTTGATTTTACACCTGTGTTGCCAAGATATTTACAAAGTCCTGAAACTAATCTCAACCAATAAATTTGTAAGTATAAAACGAATTGAACCGTTACAAAATCATGATAAATCTAATAAATATATAATATAAACATTGTATCAATAAAATAAATAATATTTTTCTTTCAGACACGGGGTTATCTATACAGCAAAAATAATCACTTTGATTAATGTGTTCAATCTGGCAACGCTGACAGTGCGACGTATTCCGTTGTGCACGCAGCATGTCCTTATGTGGCTCTGACAAATTTTTCTGATTTTTGGTAGAAAAAATGGTTTTTCTGTACAATATTTGAGTGCATTCTATTCCTTAAGGCCTGTTTAACTTCGTGAAAATGTAAGTACTCATTGTTTTGCGTATTTTCTATAGTTTTTTTTACGTTCAAATATTTTAATTACATCATCATTTAAAGCTTATATATTTTTCACATTTCCACGATTTTTTTTTTTCTAAATCGAGTATATGGAAATATTTTTACTTTCCTTGATGTCTTTACTGCATATTAAAAGTTTATTTACTTAGAATATTGCCTCAGATTTAGAGGTATTTGATATTTTTTTCGATCATTTTTTTTTGGTAGAGTTGAAGATGTTTTGCATTCCCAAAATTTTTTAGTTGTTTATTCGTACAGGCAAACAAGTATTTTCTACGTCGTTTTCATAAACACCGCTCTATTCTCAATAATTATATAATACTTTCAGATAATAAAAAAAGTTTACTTCTCACATGTTTAATACTAACATTTTCGTCATATTTTTGTAAATAATTTTGGACTATTTTTATAGAATCCTTTGTTTATTCTTTTTTAGGAGCGTTATTAATAATACACCATAATCACATCAAGACTACCAAAAGACGAGACATGAGTTACCTACCTCTTATATAATCCTGATATTTGGCCATTATTCTGGTTTACAAGATTCTATATCTCTTCTATTATTATTTGATTGAAAGTAAGTTTAATTTATCATTAAAAAATAGTTTTAACAAATTTATTAAATGTGTATTAACAGACTAATCATAGTTTTAAGATATTATATTGAATATTAATATGGAAATGAAGCAAAAAAAAGATTATATTATAATTAACGAAATATAATACTATTTATATCTTTTTTTACAGATTTACAATCCGATGGATGTATACAGTTCCAGGGCAGTACATATCATATCAAAATCTAATAAATTCTATTATGTTTTTGAATATTGCCAGCAGTGCATTAGGACTTATAAGTATATCTAGAATGTGATTTCTTTTGGGTAAATATAATTTCAATTCTTTCGTAATTAAGCAAGAAAAAAATTTCCATATTTCTCTTAGTTTTATTTTTATGATATCTTAGTATCATAGATAAATTCAGACCATCTATTTTTAAGACTGGTTTTTTGCTATTTTTTACTTAGAATTTTACTTCATGTTTTTGGTTTAGTTTCATTTCCCTATAACAGCTTGACTCCCATATTTAGTGCACTTATTTAAGGCTCACCCTGTATATTTCCTTGTTTTTGAGAATAATATCACCATTTATCAATTCTCTAAAATCCCTTTGACTATATTTCTATGTCTTCTTTTACTTGTATTATTTTTCTTATGTTGTCATTCTTCTAATAATACTTTTTTTCTTAAACAGAATTTTAGTTTTGATGGATTCATTGTTTTCAATTAATTTTTTAATTCCTAGTTAATTTATACCATTTATTCAAAAAAATTGACTTGGCCACCAAATGTTGTTTTTGAATCTTCTAGCATTTTTCCAGTGAATTTTCCTGTGTAACATCGACTCCAGAGCATCATAACTAGCCTCTCCGAAGAGGAGGAGACCCGGGTCACCCCCTAACCCGGTTGTTCGGGCATCGATGACCTATGTAGCATGCATAGGTACCCAAGGGAGTCACCACCCTCTGGTTTACGAGCTAGGTGTTCTAACGCTAGAGGCTTCGGCCGGATACGACCTGGCACCCAAGCTACGAGACTTCTTCGTTGCACGTATCCCGTGACGTCTCGACAGTAGAGGGGGCGGGATATCGGACACATTGAAGATGATGAGGGGGGTCCGCCTGTAGGGGGTCCCGGTGGATGTCCGCTCGATGGGTGACGAGGGTGACCCGAGACGAGGCTGCTTAGCTGGGATGGGAACTGACTGGCGAGGCTTAATCGTCGGAAAAGGGTTAAATCAGATGAAGGAGGCGAACTTATATGCTCTGGAGGATTTTTTCTTTATGTGCTTTATGTCAAATTTTGCAACCAGATATTCTTTCGAGGAGGCTAAGCATAATCTTTGGTAAATTTTCTAGTTCTTATTAGCCACATGCTTCTTTATTTTTTCTCTTGCTTTTGGCCTACCTCTGTTATACAATTTTTATCTGCCATATTTTCTTTATTATTGGAATATCATCATTCATAAATGCCAATAAATTCTTCCAATGATTGTTTTATTTTTGTGTTATTTTTCTGAGGTTTTTCCAAGACCTGTTTCAACATTTCTATTGCCTGTATAGGTTTATCGTTTTTTTATTCGTTTTCATGCCATTCTTTTTCCAATTCATCTCTCATTTTCATGCCATTTTTTCAATGCATCATAATACCTCTGTTTCATTATTTATCTGCCATATTTTCTTCTATATGGGAATGACACCATTCATCAATTCTATAAACTCTTCCATTGATTGTGTTTCTCTAAATTCTCTTTATATTTGTATAAATTTTTGTGTCAGACTTCTCTTAGTTCATCACTCATTGTCATGCATTTTTTTTTCAATTTTACATACCTCTATTTCTGTTTTTGTCTTTCTATTATATTCATTCTGTGAAATCTATTAAACTTTCATTTACTTGTATATTTTTTTGAGTTGTGTCATTCTGTATCAAGCCTTTCTTTTTCTAAGGCATTTTATTTCTTCTGTCCGCTGTAGTTTTCGAATCATTTTCATGTTATTAAGTTCACATTATTTTTCTTAAATATAATTTATTATTTTTCTATTATATCGATTGGATTTCTAAGTATAATTTCTTTTATTTGTATTATTGTTTATTTTACTGCTGTTCTTCTAAGACTTATAAGTCTTTCTATTGCCTAGTTAGAATTGTATAGTTTTGGATTCATTTTCTAACTAATTTTCTTTTCATATATTCTAATTCTTTTTAAAATTGACTTTTTAAATGGGATATTGTACTGCTTTGGAATAAGGATTTTTTTGGACAGCTGCACTTTAATTCAACCAACCTCTTCAAGATGGCTGCAGCTTGCTGAAATTCAACATTGAACAGTGGAATGAGAAGAAAACTGATCATTGACGAGGAAGCTAAATAACTTTAGGTAAATTTTACTAAAAGTGTTTATTATTAATAAATAAATGTAAAATATTTTTTGTTACATGTGTATGAGTTTTAAGTTAGTCTAACTAAATTTATTTTTATTTTCAGATCGTGAAATTTTTGGAAATCATACTACAAAAACTGCAGCTGGTACTGGTAGTTCTATTTTCCTTCCATGGATACTTCTTCTGAACACATCTCCAGAAGATCTGAAGCACTGAAAATGCGGTTTTAAAAGTTTTATGAATTTTATTTTATATAAATAGGTCTTTATTTTTTAAAAATTGTTAAAAGGAAATTTTGAAATGTTGAATTTTATAGTTTATAACTTTTTTTTTTAAATATTTAAGATAAAAAAAATTATATCATCAAGAATATAATTTCGTATAATCCATTTTTTTCTGATCAAGCAGGCTTTGAGCATTGATAAATAATCATTTTTAATGAGGAATTACATTAAAATTAATATACATTTTTATACTCCAAAGAATATATTCCTTTCCTAATGACTATTTATAATTATTATTAGTTATAGATAACATATTTTTTATTAAATGTAATGTTTTAAAGGCCGCTATTACACTTATCAAATTTCTTTGTCAAAGATCTTTTATAAAACATATTTGGTGAAAAATTTGACACTATACAATATTTTATAAAATCACATAATATATTAAATACACTGTCATATTCTTTGACAAAATAAAATCTTTTACAAAGAAGTTTGATAGTGTAATAGTAGCCTTTTAGTTAAATAGTATAGACGATAATTATAATACCGTATGATCGAGAAAAAAAAACGGCGCCAGGGATGGCTATGAAATGAAGATCGCTGTCATTTTATACGTAAAATTTTATGGGGAATGTCATCGATGTTCATTTCCAAGCCAACTGGACGCCGTTTTTTTTTCGATGATACGGTATAAAGATTACCAAATGTGCAAAAAAAATAAGAGTCCGAAAATAAAAATATAAAATTGTGATCAAAATTAGGGACGGGTGATTAAAATTTTAAAGTAAAAAACTATTTTTACATGTAAAAAACAAGTTTTTTTTACACAAAAAAACATGTTTAGTTACGATCAGAAAAAATCTAGCTCTATGTAAAAAACAAGTTTTTTACATGCACGAAACGAGTTTTTTACGTGTAAATTATTAGTTTTTTACAAGATATTTTTAACGTTTTATAAAAAGCTTCTTTGAAACCGCTGTTAAGTATTATAACGATGTACAAAAGATACCATACGATCGAAAAAAAAATGCCGTCAGAGATGGCTTGGAAATTAAAAATTTTACGTATATTTTCCACCATAACGTAAAAACGACACATCTAATTACCCATTCCTGATCAAAACGTTTTATACTTGACCTTACTTTGTATAATGACAAATAACAAATACTTTTGGAAAATACCGTATGATCGAATAAAAACGGCGTCAGCGATGGCTATGAAATGAAGATCGCTGTCAATTTATACATATGTAAAATTATATGAGAAATGTCATCGATCGTCATTTCCAAGCCAACTCGACGCCATTTATTTTCGATCATACGGTACCATATGATCGAAAAACAGTGTGAAAAACAGGGGAATATCAGTGTGATGATAGTTTCTAAGCCAACTGGACGCCGTTTTTTTTCGATCATAGGGTAGCATTATTTTTATTATTTTAACGATCAAAATCAAAGCCTACTTGATCATAAAACTTAGATATTTTATGCTGTATATTAGTTTAGCACATTAGGGTAATCTGCGTCCAGAATACATTTATTTTTATTTTTATTTAGGTCAACCTTTGTCAGATATATGTATAATGTGTCCAGTGGTTTATTTTGAATAAATAAAACTGATAAAATTAAGTGTTGTTTTATTTCGCAATTAGACTTACAAGAAAAAACCTTTTAGTAAAAATATAAAGAGTATACTTGAATATATAATAATCCTAAAAAGAATACTTTGAAAGATACAGTTCATCTCCTTGCCCTTATATTCTCCTGATATTAATCGAAAATTTTGTTGAAAATCAAAATCTAACTACAATTCATTCATTAAAGACTGAAAAATTGAGAATTTGTATCAGGAGTACATAAGAGTAAGGAGGTAAAAATAAACGAAATAAATTCTTGACAAAATGGTGAATGTAACTCACTGCTCCTGGTATCGAAAAATACCTCCTCGCATTCATATGTTCCTGATACAAATTTAAAATTTCTCCGCTTTTGACAAAACCGACCAAAAATAATTTCGACCTGGCAAAAATTGGAGTACCCGACCAACGAGTTCGAACGAGTTAGATTTTTTCGAAAAACGGCCATAACTTCTAAACTAAAAGAGCTATCGAGGAACGGAACTCGGCATTCGATTCGCCTTTCAACCCTCTATAAGGGTGCATAATTAGGGCGCGATCGGAGACAAAAAAAATTTTTCGGCAAAAATGAAGGAAGGTTAACCCCTTACCTCATTTTTCGCCAAAATTTTTTTTTGTCTCCGATTGCGCCCTCGTCTTGAGCCCTTATAGAGGGTTGAAATGCCTATTGAAAGCCGAGTTCCGTTCCTCTCTAACCCTTATAGTTTCCGAGATATTAAGGGTTGAAGTTTGGAAACGAGTTCGAAGTGCTAGAGATAGCAGAAATATCGTTGTTTAATGCTATATTTATATGTAGTACTAAATTTAATCCTTACCTCTTCATTTTTATGTGTTCCTGATAAAAATCGGCGATTTTTGACCCGGTTTAAAAATTTTCGTGCAGTCTTTGATAAAAATTGATTTTTCTCTGATGTTTATCAGGAGCACATAAGAGCGACTAGGTAAATATCGGTACTTAATTTACTCCTTACCTCTTCACACTTATGTGCTCCTGATAGAAATCAATGATTTTGGACAAGTGTTAAAAATTTTAGTTCAATTTTAGTAAAAGCTGAATTTTCTCGGATATGTATCAGGAGTACATAAGAGCGAAGAGGTATAGACTTAAAATTTTTCATGCAATTTTTATTAAGAAGAGGAAATACCAGGGATTGGTATCAGGAGTTCATAAGGGCCAGGAGGTAATCGTATAGGGATTATTTTTATATAAAATACTGTCTATTCCTTAACAACTTTTTAAGTAGTTTAGTATTAAAATATATTATTTTTGTTTGTTAATTAAATGACTTTACCTTTTTTGTTCAGGATTAGACAGTATTTCTAATATGGCTATTTTAGTTCAATAAAACTCATTTATTTTATTAATTATTGTTTATTTACGTATATTAACAACATTACATACAATATTAACAATAGTAAATTAAATAGTATATTAAAGTTCAAGGTGTTGATGGACATGCAGATGTCTATGTTGAGGTAAATAAATCTCTTCTGGCTACCCTTCTGGAACGTCTTGCATCTGTAACAAAAGTAAAAAGCAATAATTAATTATTTGTATAAAAAAATAGTTTTTTACGTGTAAAAAAACGTTTTTACGTGTAACAAATAGTTTTTTACGCA